ACTCCATCGAGTTTTACTTTTATTTTTTAGTCAAACAAATAACATTATTTGACTATAAATTAAATTTAATCTAAATAAATTAATAATACTTCTACCGTCCTATAATGATCTTCCCAGAGCACTATTCTAACTTCACGGTAATTTATATTTATTTGTGTTTTTTCATGGCCTATATGATAAAATAAAATATTCTTGTCACCACTTGTTTTGTTGACCTTTTGATGTAGTTTTTAAATATGTATGTTTTATTTTTCATTTCTATACCAATATTTAAATAAAATAGATTGAAAAAACTTGGGATTTTTCTTCGTTTTGCGAACCGGAAAGAAAGATATAGGACGGAGGGAGTATATCAAAACTATATCTTAAGATGAATCCAATCATATTAAATTTATACTATAATTTAAAATATTTTTTTATATTTTATTATCAAAGGGTGTCACTCTTTGACCAAAATATTCAAAAATGAAAGGTTTTTTTGATCGGAAGAAAATTCCAAGCTCGGGATCTCATCTCTCTCTCCGAGCTCCACTATCTCCAACCAGTTCAATCTCTTTTGATTTTAAAATTTTTCTTGCGAAATCTCAGGGACTTTTGACTTGCCTAATTATTAAATAATAAGAAGATTTGGAGTCTATTTTTTTGCATTGAGGCAAAAAATTGCTCTTGGGTACCCTTAGTTTTGTTGTAAGAAGTAAGAATTGATGGGTAGCTTCAATTTTAAAAATATACTCTTAGGTACCCCATATAATTCGAAAACTTACTAATAGGTTCTTTATTTGAGAATGAGTATTATTTTTTAAGAATGAACACTACGCTATTTATTATAATTATACTAGACATATGTGTAAAAATGAGTACTTTTTTATTTTAAAATAAGTACTATCTTTGCCAGAATGAGTACTACATATTTCGAAATGAATGTTTATATTTATACGAGAATGAGTGCTACTTTATTTCAGAATGAGTATTATCGGGATGTACCTATTTTTAGGTACATCCGGATGTACCATATACCAACTCCAAGATGCGGCGTATGAGGAAAATATCTAGTTATTTACCTAGGGTTTTGTGCTCCATAATTTAAAATAATGTGTCAGAGTAAAACACACTTTCCAGACCAACTTGCTCCGAATTGGGATCCGTTTGCGTCGTTGGATTCGATTCGTCGATCCCTACCCAACGATATAACTTTTATAATCAATTAACAAACATTTATACGTTCTACTTGATCCATCTTAATTCTTTCGATTCATTAGTACCGATCAATCTTTTAATTTAAATCTTTTCAAATATAATCAGATCAGTCTCGTTATATTGAGACGGTTAGAATCTCTAAAATATCTTTTAATTCCTTAAAAGAATAGATTTTCGTAAATAAATAATTCTTATTTATTTAATTATTGGTTAACTTCTAGACCGGTTTCTAGGGCGTTACACTAATTCCTCACCAAAATATTTTTATTCCCCCATTAACCTTTCTCAATCTCTACTTGGGTAAAAATAGACTAATTTATTTTAAATATTTTATTGAAAATTAGTTTTTATAATCAATTTCTGACTAATTAATAAATTTAAAATTGTTTACTTTGATATTTACTTAACTATAAAAATTTTTACTCTTTGAGTCTCCCGATAAATTTTGTTTGCTCGTGTATTTTTCATTAGTCATTTGAGAACATACAATATCTTTGTCTCATGTTTCATTGTAGAACCTTTGATAGTTTTTAAATATGCAATTCACATTTTTTATAACAATTTATGGATAAAGTCATATTTGAAAAAAAATAAATTTTATATATTGTTTGAATAGTGTAAACGAATTTGGAAGGCAAGTAGTAAAGTTTATAACCAAGTAAATACGAGAGTGAACCATTTGTAATTATAAATAATTATATCACCAAAACTAATATTCAAAAGATTTTATCATTGTTTTACTCAAGTAGATTGGGATAGGTTAAAGGGTCTATACAAATTTTTTGGTGGGAGCCTTAGTATTTGTTTAAAAATTTACACTAGTAAAACTACTACTGTAATTAATAATATTAATAATAATAACTATTATAATAATATAATAACAAGAATACTAGGAGTAATAATAATAATAATAGTATAATAAAACAAAAGGGATGGGGTGGGGGTCTCGATGCACAGGAGGAGAAGAACAATTGAAGAAGATGAACAGAAGAAGGGGGAGGAGGAAGTAGATGAAAGAAGTAGATGATGGTGAATAAGAAAACTAACGGAGCATTTGACGGAAGGACAAAAAAGTCACCCATTAGTAAATTTTAGAAAAATTAGAAGTACCCGATAGTATGTTTTTAAAATTGGAGGTACCCGACAGTTTTTATCACAAAACTTAGGGTACTCAATAGCAATTTTTTGGCATTGAGGTGTCCCTTCTTGGTCATCCAACACACTCCTTTCGTCTCAAAATGTTTGCCACATTACACAAAATGATACGAAATTTTGAATTTTTCAATTCATTTTATTTAAGGACTAACATATGGACTAAAAACTGAAATTTATGTATATTAAAACGGGTTAATAGCATGGGCACACCCTGTGATTTACAAAAAGGGCGTCAAACCCCCCCATGTTTTCAAAAGTTATTTGTAAAGTCTTTGTGGTTTCTAAATAGAGCACACATGCCCTCCTTACCTATTTTTACTTTTGTTTTCAAAAAAACATTATGAAAAATTCTAATTTGAGATGGGAAGCATATATTTTATTTTATATATTTGTATAATAAAGGAAATTAAAATCGGAAAAATTCAAGATCGGGAAAAACAAAGGGCATAAATGTCATTTTTGCTTTAAAAATAAGTAAGGGGGCATGTGTGCTCTATTTAGAAACCACAGAGACTTTACAAATAACTTTTGAAAACATGGGAGGTTTTGACGCCCTTTTTGTAAACCACAGGGGGTGCCCATGCTATTAACCCATATTAAAACACTAAATCAGAACTTTATCTAAACAAGAAGTAACAAGAATATTTTATTATATTGAATATTTCATAATTTAAAAAAAGTACAAATAACAAAAGTTTTCGCAATTTTTAAATAGTAAATTCTGTTTTTTTAGAGTACTTCCATATGTGGGCTATATCTATTTGGGCCAGTGCCGAGGATATGATGGATCGAGTCCAAAATGTAGAAAAAAGAAGATTAAAAAAGCCGCGTTGACGCGGTGAACATTCCCACTTCAATTTCCCGGGAGAGAGAGAGAAATGTTGGCGACAGAAGAAGGAAGTCATATCGAAGAAAGAACTGAATCCCTTTGGGATTCGATTTAGTATCTTTCCTAGTTTGTTTATTTCTTGTTTTAGTAGGAATAGAAATATGGTAGGAATAGAAGTTTACTTATATGCTTTATTCTCTTCCTATATAAAGGGGGTTAGATCTTTGTATTCACAGAACAATTCAATATACAGAATATTTTTTCCCTCTTATCAAATTCTA